TTCCTCCCCTCGTCTTCCCGGTACCAACCATATTTATATGGTCGGTACTTCACTATGCAAATTAGGTGGATCCTACCACAATTATAATATATATATATATATATATATATAATGTATGTAGAATTGTTACCTTTCATTAAAAACGAGAGATAATTGGTTTCTCACCGTCAAGTATGATTGGAGATATAGTTTGTTTAAATATGACTACAGAATAGTGAGTTCGATCCTTACTGGAAGCCGTATTTGTATTGTTATGCTGAACTATGCTAAGCTTAGTAAATGGTAAAAACAATGTTTTTCTTTAGTTAACCTTTTTATTTACGTACAAGAGAGCGTATGTTTAAGTTTAAAGTGGCCTTAATATGTTATAGTGACGTCACGTGCATGTGACTGTCAAGCAAGTATTTTTTTGTTTAAATGTGTTGTCAGTTTTTGAATACATAACAATTCAAACGTTGAAAAAGATTTAGCTTCTTGTTTGCATAGAATTCTGTGTTTGAAAATGTTTTATGTTGTAGGAGATATTATTGCCAAGCGATACATATCTATTGACGTAGGTACGGATTAAACAGTAATCCATGAGGTGTCAGATTAACCTATGTGATTGGGAAATAGTTGTGTGTCCTATATATGAACTAGATGCATGTGTATCATAGAACCGCCGCTGGCTTTCTTGACTGCCGAATATAACCCAGAAGCGGTATATAACGGACGTTGAAATTACGGTGCCAGCTCCAACTTGGAATTGGCATAGAACGTTATGTTGAGCGGTTGTTTTGTCTTGAAGGACATGGACCTTGCATAGAACAAATAATAGCTGTGAAAGCGTATCCCATCAACCCTTTGCGAGTAGAGTGCTCTGTTCCGGTGTTAAAGAAGTTATGACAGCTATCTGACTTGTAGAGGCCAATATTTAAACCGTTACTCAAACCTAGAGGAAAGTTGCCTCTTTTCTTTATATCGGTTGTCGTGTCGTTTGGAGTAGCAGTGGTCGTCGGCAGCAAAAAGGTGAGTTTCCCTTTTAATTCTTGTGGCCGCTGCTACATCTGCTTGTTGGTGCGCAAATAGGCTAGCTGATTTAACATCTGCAATAATATCCGAATGTTGATATCACTGAATTGTTTCGAATTCACCGTGAAGCATTAGACGAGGGATTGTTTGGCTCCAGACTCAGGTGTCGTACTTAATAAATTTGTCTCCATTTTGCAGTGTATTCAAACTTGTAGACGCCGATTTGATTTGTCCTCGTCCACTTACGACAGCCTCGTCGATTTCGATACTGCACCAAAGGAATCAGCAGTTATCAGTAAAGTCGTTTACGTTCGTTTGTTTTTTTTTTCTTTCTTTTCACTTCCCTTTATTTTCCTGTATGACCAGGCTGCGGGATTCTGAGCGGGCCATAGTGGGCATCAAAATCTGAATTTTCCTATAAACTACATCCGTGTCCGGCGGCGGGGCCTCTGGCCGGGAGGTTTTGAGGAGCGTAGAGCCGCCTCTTGGTTGCTGGCGTTCCCGGGTCCACCCTGGTCCCGAAGGTGGACGAGTGTTTGAACCCTGAGCTGGGGTTGGGGAGCTGTGACAGTTTAAAAATAGGTTTTAATACCAGCAATGAATTTTTGAGGAAAAATTATTACCAGCAATACATTATTACCAGCAATACGTTTTTGAAGAAAAAATATTACCAACAATATACATTTGAAGGAAAAAATATTACCAGCAATACATTTTTTAAAATAATTATTACCAACAATACATTATTACCAGTAATACATCTTTGAAGAGAAAAAATATTACCAGCAATAGATTTTTGAAGAAAAAATTATGACCAGCAATAAAAATCTTGTTGGCATTAACACATTGAGGTTGATATACCGTAAAACCAATAAATGAAACCAAACTAAAGCAAAGAATACATATTCTATTCATACGAACCTATCCTAAAAATCTTGTCTGCATTAAATAACCCATTGAGGTTGATATGCCGTAAACCAAACGAAACCAAACCAAACCAAATTTCATACAAATATTATTTCTGAAAATAAGCTCAGTTCAAACAGATGTACCCCTCTAAAGACGTTAGGTGTGGTATTTTCAGAAATTCTTTTGAAATTGTCGAAAAAATGCAATAAATGTCATATGAATTCGTTGATTGGTAAGATTGGTAAGATTGTCAGAGAAGTAATACGCCCTCTGGTGGTCCCAGTGTTCGATAACCCGTTCCTTTGTAGTACAAGATTTTTTATTTATTCTAGTCGCTTTCTCCTCTTTCACTGGCCTTACTCTTTGCCGCTTTCTTGTTACTTCTACAGCTTCTTCGTCTTCATGATTGTGGTGTCAAAGATCCATCGTTCACTCGCTCTTTTTTATTCGTCCCACCGTTGCTTACTTCTCGTAACTATCCTCATTCACAACATCGTCGTAGTCGTCATCCAACGGAGTAGAAATATGTATATGACATTGAACATGCAAGTCACTTTGCCTAAGACGTTTTGTTCGATATTCTTTCTTCTTTGAATCATACCTCGTTTCTTTCGTTGTTCAATGATCTCCCTTTGCTGACAGTTGTAAAACAAAACAAAACAAAACAATTCATTTTCTTTCCTTTGTAGTAGTACGAGGATAATTGTGTGTAGTAAGCAGATAAGGAGGAGGGTTAACTAGTGTAGCCATCGTTGCATTTACTGTCGAAGAATCAATCACTTGCTTACTATATACGACACAATATTCGATGCTCGACCAGGTTAGACATGCCGTTTTGTGAATTTCTCTTTTAATACTCTATTTACATTATTCGGACTAATGTCCTCATCTTTGTCACCATATTTATTTATCAGGTTGAGATCATAGACAAAGAACACCATTGGAAAATTCGTAAACTTACGGAATCAGCATATATGCTAGGCCACAAAAATCTCCTGAGCCGACCAAGCATAGAAATGAATGGGAACAAGTAAGGAGTGCTAGAGAAAAGCGATAATAACAACAAACATTACAACATGAGCTCTGGTAAAAACATGCAATGATAACAGAAAAAATTGCAATATGAGCACTGGTAAAAAAGATTTGCTGTAGACATTAGGTTTATAATACCCAGAAATTCATGCACACGACACATTGCACAGTGGATAAAGGCATTAGTTAGATCCAGTGACAGGACCCAAAGGGTGTGAGGTCAATACCTGGTTAAGGTGGTGGAGAACTTGGAGGGGGCAATTAACAAGAGATAATTGACATCTATTAGACATGGCACGAAACTTTGAATAAATATGGCGACAAAGATAAGGAGAATAGCCCGAATAATGTAAATAGTATACATAATACTTTATCTCAGAAATATAGACAGTTCCTTTTTAATGTGTTAAAATGTCCTCCAGTTTTACTCGCCGCCGTTTTCGTTTAATGTCCACAGCTCCCATCGAAGGTGTGCTTTGAATGATGACACGAAAGTGTACGAGAATTCATTTTCGTCAAAGTGCTCACGTCTGTAATCGAAAGTTGCGCTAAATTTCCCGTCTTTTTACTTGGAGCCTGTATCAGACTCGACACTCAATGAGGAGGATATTCAGGATGTATCAGCTTTTTGAGGAGACATTTTTCAAGAGCTCTAACTGTATTCTAAATTATTTTGATTACCTTTATTTTATTACCTTTATTTTATTACCTTTATTTTATTAAATGTCAGACATAAGGTTGCATCGGCAAATGAAAAGGCACACTGTAATTATTGCCTTTAAAAGCGCAACGTAATGAACAACAGAGTAAGCTCCCTTCCTGAAAGTTACCCGATCTTTCGTTATCAAAGTTCGAAAGGAGCTGCAAGCTGCTGACGGGGATCCAATAGAAACAGCTACACAAAACGCATGCTAGATGTCGTAACACAATCAGAACACCTAACTTTGTACGTAAAGTTTAGAAAATAATCAATAAGAACTCTGTAAAGTTAATCAAAGCCACGGCAAATAACCTCAAGTGTAAGAGTACATCGTCAGAAGAGTTGTGAATGAGAATAACAGGTACAAGTTGTATGTGATGCAGAAAAGTCAGTTCATGTCGTAAGAAAGAAGAGAGAATCGTTTGATCAGTTCGAAGCGCTTGATAAACAAGCTAAACAACACCAAGATGCTAGAGAGGTGGGGAGGGGCTTCTTTTTCTCCGTCGAAAAAAAAAAAAACTTTGATCAAGACGGAAAGGTAATCCGAAGAAATGACAGATCGTTATGAACCCCAGCTGAGGTTCCAAGGGTTATGCATACCAAATTTCCGGCAATTCTGAGAATCATCAGAAACGAGGACGATGTCATACATTCTCACGTCTTTCAAGTGTCACCGCTACTGTCTAACAGGAAGAATTGTAGAGAGTTATAATGGCCTGGATAGACAGCATTCGCAACGGAATACCGTCCGTCTTCCAACAGACTCCTGCACCGTTTTATAAGGCTAAGACAACCCAAGCATATATGTGTGACAATCTCCTTGAGCATGTTCTCCTAAACACATGGCCTCCTAGATCATCATTCCAGAATCTACTGGTCTAATACGTATATCGTTTAGTAGATATAGCAGAAGCCTCCGTAATACCATAAAATATCTCAAGTACGTCATAACCAGAACTATATCCAAAATTGATAACGGTCATCTGATTCGAGCGTGTTAACGCTTCTGACCCCGGACCTAAGCAATCAGCAATGCTAACGACGAATAGATGTGGTAAAAAAAAAAAATCATGATAATTTACGCTAATTTGTTTTTAAATAAATTTTTTCGTTCTTGAGTTACGCGCCTTTTCCTGAATTCATGAAAAGTCCTCAAAAGACTGACGTACTTTATTCGTCTGCTTTTGTACTTCGCTGGCTGACTACTTGATTCTCTCCGATTCTATTGGCTAATATTCAAAGACAGAAAAAAAAAAAAAAACAAAAAACAGTTCGGGGATTAGCTTAGAACCCGGTCCGAGTATTTATCCTCGTTTTTCGTCGTCGTCGCATAAGAACAACGATGCTTGGTCATATGCTTGTCTCAAATGTATTAGAACGGTTGAAACTGAGAATGGTTCAGGAATCGGATCTAATTGTCTGGGCCGCCATTATTCTCGGAGGCGATAGATAACTGTAGTAATTCTAGAACTAATACATCTAACACAGGTCGTGATCGGTCATTGCATCGCTGATACCTTGCTTTCTTGTGCGTTGGCGCCCACATTGATTCGTTCCCGCCGTCGCCGGCAACTGCTGGTATCCTCGTGGTGTCGGTAGTGGTGGTGGATGTGGTAGTAGTGATTATAGTGTGTCGGCTGTAAACGGGTGATGAACGGTGTCCTCTGATTTGGTTACTCTGCATAATTCACTGGTCGGGCTTCCAAGCCTAGCGACTGATCTCTGGAGAGTCATCAACTATCAATGGTCGATTGGGTAACAATGAATCGGGGTTCGATTCCGAGGAGGGGGTCATGCAAAATGGCTACCACTTCCAAGAAAAGCAACAGACCCACTTTCGATCTTGAGATTGGAATGAATACATTTCAAATCCGTTAATGAGGACCAAACGAGGGGTAATTTAATTTCTGCTATAGTATATTATAGATGTTGCGAAAAAAACAACAAAAAAAAAACAAAACAAAAAAAACAACAAAGAAAACAAACTCGTATTTTACAAGTACAAACAGAAGGAGCCCCAGACCATATATGGTGTTGGAGCTCCTTTTGTTTGTCTCAAGGTCTTTGATAAAAGACGGATATGCAATGTAATTGGCCCTGATCTGGCATCTCGTCTGCAGCTGTTCTCTCACAGAGTTGCCATCGCTTCCCTCTGTGTTTTTTACAAGTGCTTTCATGGTAACTGCTCCGTTAAGTTGCTTTCGCTGGTTCCCAGACTTCAGGAATTTAAGCGTTCTACTAGGCTGGCATCTCGCTCTCACCCTTTCACTGTCGAAACTGTTAAATGTAGCTGTCTCTTCTACTGCATGTCTCGCACTTCTCGCCTGTGGAACACCCTGCCCATTTCTTGTTTCCCTGATAGCTATAATCTCCAACTATTCAAATGTAATGTCAATTGACGTCTCCAGATGCCCTGATCTATCCCCTATCTTTATCGTCATCCTTTCCTCTATCACTCCTATTTGCTCTCACTCCAACTCTCTGTAACCCCTTGCGTGCTAGTGGCTTCCCGCCTTGCTTGGGGTGAAACGCTTAAAAAAGAAGGAAAAAAAAACTTCAATGGACCTCTTAACTGCCTATTCGAAGTCCGATATATTCACTTTGAAAAAATAGAAAAATCAGACAAGGAAGTTCAAGTTTGCATAAAATATGTATAGAATGGTAGACCTTGTCTAAGTTTGTCGGTCTCTCGGGCTAAAGCGAGATAATGATAGAAGAATTGCAGTGATGGCAGGTTGTATGCACATTTACCTCGGTTAAGAGCAATTTTTCTAGATACCACCGTCGGATTTCGCTTCCATGAACCAGCGGGTAGCCTGTGGGGAATGTTCAATTTTAGAGATAGTATGGTTGTGAAATTCAGAATTAAATGGATTGATAGAAGAGAAATACTCGGCGGCTTAATTCATTTTAACGTGGGGAAAACTCACCTGGTTATGACATTGGTAAGATTGACGGACAAAGCGATATATCGTTCTCGATTGGATGGCTGTTCTTGATTGGCAGTCTTGTTGTTTCCGATAATAAACGAGACATCATCCTGTTAATTAGAGCGCAGAATTTTTTTTCAAAGGCAGGCTCGGTTTTTAATGAGACCGGTACAATTTTCTCACACTCTTCCAAAGAAGGACGGTGGGTAGAGAGCTGCATAAAGCTTAAAGACTATAGGTATGTGATATCCTGTAGCGAGTGCAAAATAATAATAACTCTCTTTATTCATTGCCTTCAAATTCGGAGGACCGGGGGAAAAGACGGAATGGAATGTGAAATTTTCTTTGGACAAATGAAAACCTTGCCTTCACAGAAATTGATCGGTGAGCTAAGAATTTTCGAGAGCCTATATGAATTTGCGAGCCTATGTGAAAATTCACGAGCCTATGTGAAATTGTTTTGGGACCAATGGAAACATTGCCTTCGCAGAAATTAGCCGGAAAGAATGTAGCTAGCCCATGTGAAGTTCATTTTGATATAAAATGAGGATAAAAATTAAATTAATAAGAGAAGGATGCCTGAAGTCATGTGAAATGTTCCGTTTCAGTTCCTCGCAACCAACGAAAAGATCATTTTGTATCAGATCATTTAATCTGTGGTATGAATATCTCCTATTCATGACAATTCGTTAAAACAACGGACTTTAACAATTTCTGGTTTATTTTCCTGAAACGTGCAACTGGCACAACTTCAAGCGTGTAAATTCGTAAATAAATTCCTTATCTGATTTTGTTAAAAAAAATAGTGTGTTCCCTGTAATTATCAGCCTTCATTAACCCTAGAACACTAACCATGAATATATAGTACCCAGCGCAAATTTTCCAATTTTTAATTACAATTTTCAGTACCTGATTTTCTTACCTAAATAATATGTTTTTCAGTTCCTATTAATGTTAACTCAAAGTACAAAGTTTGAAGTGCCTGCATGTAAAATATTTCGAATAAAGATTTATATTTAATATTTTTTTTGATATTTTCAAAATCGGGTATGATATACCCATGGTTAGTAGTGGTTTAACTTGATGGTTAGTGTTCTAGGGTTAATGTTAACTCAAATTACAAAGTTTGAAGTGCCTGCATCTAAAATATTTCAAATAAAGATTTATATTTATATTTAATTTTTTTTTTTTTTGATATTTTCAAAATCGGAGATGATATACCCATGGTTAGTAGTGGTGTAACTTTAATTGATGGTTAGTGTCCTAGGGTTAATGATGGCTAACTTCAGTCATTCAAGAAATGTTATAATCATTTCAAGAAAGTATCGTAATTATTTCCCGCCGTTTCTCTTGATCCCGCAACATTTAACGGACAATCATTAAAAAAGAACAAAGCGTTTTTTTTTCCTATATTTATTTTTTTATACAAAAAATAACAAAAAGTGTGTGAAGGTTTTAATACAATCTAACACTAATTTAGGTAACAACATTACCTGACCGAATCAATATCTTTTAATTTACCGTTAATACATCATTCATACTGAATACATTTTCTCAGTAAAAGATCTATTTACATATTCCTCAGGTACACGTATTTGAGATGGGGGAATTACGAGATGTTAACTTAAAGTACAAAGTTTGAAGTGCGTGCATGTAAAATATTTCGAATAAAGATTTATATTTAATATTTTTTTTTGGATATTTTCAAAATCGGGTACGATATACCCATGGTTAGTAGTGGTGTAACTTTATTTTAGGGTTAGTGTTCTAGGGTTAATGTTCTTGGTGTGGCTAAATCAACTGTTAATTTAACCCTATAGTCTTTACACTAGCGTTCGATGCTCGGATAAAACGGCACGAAAGCAAACCTTGAAAGACCTTGACACTAGTTCAATTTGAATATACAGAATATTTGTTCCTTATAAATTTGTCTTTGGATGGGTAAGGAGAAGGACAATTTTTTTTTTTTTTTAAATTCTGAAAAAAAAAATTAATACAGATTTAGATTAAAAATAACAAAACATCTCATAATGAAGTTTTGTTTTTGCATCCGGGTTTTATACATTTCTTTTTAATTCATGCCTTTAGATTTGTTTTGCATTTTTTTTTTCTTCATTCTTTTATTTCATGGCGGTCTTAGTTTATTTTTTTTACAAAAAACGACGTTCGTTCTACTTGTCTATTTTCTTTCCGTTAATTTTAATTCTTATATTTTTCTCTTTACTGTAGAAATGAAACTAGCAAATTTACTTTAGTTTTAAACTTTTGTCATTAATTTATTGTGATTTGAGGAAGACCCGAGACAGTTTAATAAAATCTGAGACTTTCTATTCATACATTAAAAACATACAATTATAAATTACTTAAGTTTTGAGAAGTAAGAAAGCATCATATAAAAAAAGGGAATATTATAATATTTTTATCATAATAGATTGTAATAAAAACATTATACATCGCTACACAAAAGCTATGATATCATACCATCACCTGACGAAGTACAATCATAGTATTGAAACATGAAAGCTTTTGTGTAGCGATATGAAATGTTTTTATTATAATCTATTATAATATTATTATTATAATAGATTATAATAAAAGCATTTTGCTCTACTTTGTATTGAGCACTTTTTTAAAAATAAATCCTACAAACTGTGGATTTTGCTCCATCTGTTCTGTCTCTTGTTTGAATAAGAAATATATATATATATATATATATATATATATATATAAATATCTTCCGTACAATGTCCTTTAAATTATTTTTCTCGTTTTGTGAACTCCTTTGATTTCTATTTGATTGTTACTGAAATTTCTAAAATAAATTCTATGAAACCGGAAGTAAAAAATAAAAACCTAAATAAGCGCCATTTTGAAAATAATATTTTCCATAAAAGTAAAAGTGGAATTTGTGCAATTAAGCTTTCTCGCTGTTTATATTACGAAGCATGATTGCGATAATAGTGCTAAATATACTTCACCTACATCACACCAACCTTACTTGCTTTACGTTGAATAGTACTTGTAAGATCAAATTTAATGATAACAGGGATATTCATACAATGCATACAAGAATCGATTTTATTTTAATTTCACTCGCTTACTTTATTTTTCTTTATTATTCTTTTCTCTTCTCCCGCCTCTCCATTGACATAATTTTTGAAAAGTGCCAGTCGTGAACAAAATCTTCTATTTTAAAATTTGCACAAGACATAAAATAATTACAGACTAAAACGTCCATCTTCAATAAAATAAACATGGTTTTCATAAATCATGAATCCTTAAAAAGAAGAGACAATGGGAGAAAGATTTATATAAGAAATAGAGAAAATGTCAGAGTTTAAATAAACTATTTTTCACTTGTTTTCGCTTTACAACATAAAATCAATAGCAGAGATTTCAACACATACTTTCTGTCGAGGTATTTAATAATTTATGGAACTATCAATCCGGAATAAGTCTTTCTGTATTTATTTTACCATTATTAACGATGTCTTAAAAATTTCCCTTGTAATAAAAAGAAAACAATTGTATTTAATGTAATAGTTCCGTATATAATTCAGGAAATCACCTATTTGTGTATCCGACCAAATTTTAAATATTTAAAAAAAAAGGTCCCACGAGAAATAAATTCTACTTGCAAAACATCACAACTCCCCAGCAAAACATCACAACTCCCCAGCAAAACAACTCAAAATATTACGAGGATTTGTTGGCTTTTTCCTTCACAATATGCGAGTATTGATTCCAGGCAGATGTAGCCTCTGACCGATTATTAAAGCCTCTTGATATATTTTCGTAATCTTGTTGTTGTCAATTGGCGTTCAGTCGAGAGTATACAGAGTTAAACGCGTCATTAAAATCTCGGCCCCCGACCTCGACAACTGGGCTCATCAATTTATGTAGGCAAATTACGAAGACTTGCGAGAAGAACGATAAATATTGCCTGGATAATTAATATATTTTCTATCGAAAAATGCATTTCCTAAAAATAAGAAACGTTTCGGAAGT